ACTTAGAGAAACTTTGGGTTATCCTAGTATGCAGCAGAACCACCTGCAGGGGCTTTTAAAACACAGATTGCTGGGGCCTATCCCCAGAGTTTCTAATTCAGCAGGTGTGAGGTGGGGCCTGGAAATCTGTATTTCTAACAAGTTCCCAGATGCTGTTGCTGCAGGTCCAGGGACCCCCTTATGAGAAGAACTGCTTTAGAGGAAACGCATCAAATGACTCAGCTCCCACTTCCTTCCATCCCTGAGAGTCTCCACGGTTCCAAAGTCCCGAGAAAGTCCAGCTGACCCAGGATTGAGTCACTCCTGTGGTCAGAGAGGTGATTGGCAGCCCTGTGAGTGTCACATGGGGTGGGGGTGGGGGAAGTTCCTCCAAGGAAGGAATGCTGGACACAAAACTAGAAGATGTCCTCAAAATGGTAGTTGGGCAAGCTGAATGCACAACTCTCTCCATCCGGAGCAAGATCTGTGGCAGCAACTTCTCCTCTCAGGGCAGAAAGTTCCAGAAAGGAGAACAAGAGGTGGGATGGGGTGGTAGGAAGAAAGAGAAGGTAGACGCCTACAGATCATTACCTCTATTCTAACCTTATTTTGTTTTCTTGTCAAGAGAGGACACTCCTGCCCGATAGAGACCAGTGATCAATTCCACAGTGGCTTTGCTGACTACAGAAGCCCTGAGGAGTCAGTAGACCTTGCATTAAGACCCATTTTGACCAGTTAGGCCACAGCCCAGAACAACATGTCATCGTGTGTGTTGTAGCTTTTTTCAGCTGCAGAGAGATTAACAGAGACAGTTCCTGAAAAGCCTAGTATCTCATTTTTGCATCATACTGTATATGCTCCTGTAGGGGAGAATAAACTTCCTTCTACCCTCTTAGGTTCTATGGCAGGCCTAAGTATTAATCCCAAACAGACATAAAATAGAGTAACACAAGAAAGGCATATGAATTTTTAAAATATTTATGTATACACAGGAGTCAGAAAGAAAGTGAAAACCCAAAGAAGTAATCAGGCCCAAAAGCTTACCTACCTTTTTACATAAAGAATAATAAATTGGTGGGTGATGTGAACTACAGTCTGAGCCGCCTATAAAGAGAACAGCAACAACAACAAAAGAATGACAGGCCGGGTGTGGTGGCTCACGCCTGTAATCCTAGCACTTTGGGAGACCAAGATGGGTGGATCACCTGAGGTCAGGAGTTCAAGACCAGCCTGGCCAACATGGGGAAATCCTATCTCTACTAAAAATACAAAAATTAGCCGGGCGCGGTGGCAGGTGCCTGTAGTCCCACCTACTAAGGAGGCTGAGGCAGGGAAATCACTTGAACATGGGAGACAGAGATTGCAGTGAACCAAGACTGTGCCACTGCACTCCAGCCTGGGCAACAGTGAGAGACTCCGTCTCAAAAAAAGAAAAAAGAAAGAAGAATGACAAATTGTGGGGATGTGACCAGACAAAGAGGCTTGGGCTAAAGGCAGTTAACTGTGGGACAATGACTAGGAAATACATGGGGTTGAGTAGGTCGTTTGTACAGGCCCACTGCACCATCAATCCCCAGTCTCTGGTGATGGAAATGTTCTTCTCTTCCTGGTACAGAGAGGGCACCTTTCTCATGGGAAATTTTATTATCTGCTTTTAGGTAAAAACATGAAGTTCAGAGGGCTCTTCCTGCACCTGCTGTTTCTCAAGCACCTTCAGCTCAAAATAATATGCCAAAGTGGCATATTTTGGGGTGGCATGTCCTGAATCACTTCACTAACAGTGAATTTTCTTCTTCAGAAAAACTTGGTAGTGGCCAGGCACTATGGCTCACAGTTGTAATCCCAGCACTTTGGGCAGCCAAGGCAGATGGATCACTTGAGGCCAGGTGTCCAGGACCAGCCTGGACAACATGGTGAAACACCGTCTCTACTAAAAAAATACAGAAATTAGCTGGATGTGGTGGCACACACCTGTAATCCCAGCTACTTGGGAGGCTGAAGCAGGAGAATTGCTTGAACCTGGGTGGCAGAGGTTGCAGTGGGCCGAGATGGTGCCACTGCACTCTAGCCTAGGTGACAGAGTGAGACTGTCTCTGGAAAAGAAAAAGAAAAACTTGGTAGAGAAAAAAATATCTGTTAACCTAATTAAACAAGCCTAGAGTTGTGTAAGCTGGATTGCCAGCTATTAAATGCTCCTAAAATTTGGCTCACCTGAGCTTACAAACAAATATGATTTCAAAGAGTGTGTTAAAACCACTATGTTGATATTTACCCAGCAATCAATGTAATACACTATATTAATTGAATAAAGAATAAAAAACCACCCCTTCAATAGATGGCTAAAAACATTCGACAAAATCTAACAGGATAAAAACATTCAACAAACTAGGGAGAAAAGGGACCTTCTCAACCTCATAAAGGATTAAAGGATGTCTACAAAAATCCCCAGCTAACATCACACTTACTTGTGAAAGACTGGAGATTTTCCCCTAAGTTCCCTTGTTAAGAGTAGTGGTTGCAGGGGTTGGTGGGGAGGAATAGGAAGTGACTGCTAGTGGTTATGGGGTTTCTTTTTGAGGTGGTGAAATTAGTGGTGGTAGTTGCACAACTTTGTCAGTGAATATACTAAAAACCGGTAAGGTTGCAGTGGTTCATGCCTGTAATCCCAGCACTTTGGGAGGCCGAGGCAGAAGGCTCATTTGAGCCTAGAAGTTCAAAACCAGCCTGGGCAACATAGTGAGACTTTGTCTCTACTTAAAAAAAAAAATTAACTGGGCATAGTGGCGCACACCTGTAGTCCTTGGCTACTCAGGAGGCTGAAGCGGGAGGATCCCTGGAGCCCAGGAGGCTGAGTCTTCAATGAGTCATGATTGCATCACTGTACTCCAGCCTGGTCAACAAAGACCCTATCTCAAAGAAAAAAGAAAGAAAAAGAAAAGCCACTGAAGTGTAAACTTTAAAAGTTACGTGAATTATACCTCACAACTGCCTTTTTTGTGGGGGGTGGGCAAGGTCTTGTTCTATTGCCCAGGCTGGACTGCAGTGGCTTAATCTAGGCTCACTGCAACCTCCACCTCCCAGTTCAAGCAATCCTCCTGCCTCAGCCTCCCTAGTTGCTATAACTATAGGTGTGTGCTACCACACCTGGCTAATTTTTGTGTTTTTAGTAGAGACTGTATTTCACCATGTTAGCCAGGATGGTCTTGAACTCCTGACCTCAGGTGATCCACCACCTCAGCCTCCCAAAGTGCTAGGATTACAGGTGTAAGCCAACATGCCCAGCCCAAAACTGCTTTATACATGTAAAGCACACACACACAAAGCAATTTCTGACTCTAATTTTCATATTTTTATTAGAGATGGGGTTTTGCCATGTTGGCCAGGCTGGTCTTGAACTCCTGGCCTCCGGTAATCTGCCCGTATCAGCCTCCCAGTATGCCTGTAATCTCAGCACTTTTGGAGGCCAATGCAGGCGGATTACCAGAGGCCAGGAGTTCAAGACCACTGAGCCCAGCCCTATTATTCTGTTCTCTTTAGCTTACAAAAACTGGTGAGAAAGGAAGACCAGTCTAAGAATTTAATCTTGTTAAAGAAAAAAAAGCCCTGTATTTTCAAGTTTCTGCTCCTTCTTTATGGGGCTTAAGGACAAAGACTTGGTATACTTAGTCATTTGTTTAGAAGGGCACTTTAATAAGTGTTCTCTGAGTCAGCCTCAGCCTGAAGTTTAGCCAGGGGTCTAGTATAGAGAAGAAAATATTTCCCATTAGAGAGAAGAGATGTTTTGGAATAGACTACTAGAAAGTAGAATGAAGCTAAAGACAGGCTGGGAGACATGAGAGCAAGCTGATTCCCAAGGAGTATAAGGCCACAGAGAAACTCCTCTTGGCAGTAATGGTCCATGAAATTTTAGGAGAGTGATATGTTTTGTTTTGTTTGAGACAGAGTTTCGCTCTTGTTGCCCAGGCTGGAGTGCAATGGCACTATCTCAGCTCACTGCAACCTCTGCCTCCCAGGTTCAAGCATTTTTCCTGCCTCAGCCTCCTGAGTAGCTAGGTTTACACGCATGCGCCACCACGCCTGGCTAATTTTTGTATTTTAGGAGAGATGGAGTTTCACCATATTGGTCAGGCCGGTCTCAAACTCTTGACCTCAGGTGATCTGCCTCCCTCAGCCTCCCAAAGGGCTGGGATTGCAAGTGTGAGCCACTGTGCACAGCCAGGACAGTGATAATCTTACTTATACTTTGATTTGTTTTGGTTGAGATGGAGTCTCTGTCACCTAGGCCGAAGTGCAGTGACATGATTATAGCTCACTGCAGCCTGAAACTAGGCCCAAGCTATCCCCCCACCCAGACTCCTGAGTAGCTTGAGTACAGGCATGGGCCACCACGCCTGGATGACTTATTAAATTTTTTTTGTAGAGATGGAGTTTTACTATGTTGCCCAAGCTGGTCTCGAACTGCTGGGTTCCAGTGATCCTTCCACCTCAGCCTCCCAACGTGTTGGGATTACAGGCATGAGCCACCATGCCTGGCCCTATACTTTTAAATTGGTGCCTATACTGTGCTGAACTTCCCCCTCTCTAACTCCAAAACCTCAGTAGAACATGCTAAATGTTAGGGGTACTTGGATGAATAAAGGAATCAGGAATGTGCCTAGAAGGGGCTTGCAAGAAAATCTAACATCTGAGGACTAAGTGTAACTGTCAGAAATAAGCTGTTCCTTGGGCTCAAGGGTGAAGGGTGAAGGACAGGGAATGGGGTGAGGGTGAGGTAGACATTGTCCCACCTTCATCCCCATCCCTTGCCAAAATTACAGGGATAAGGGAGAGAGGACTGGACAGCAAGTTCAGGATGATTTTAACTATATCTAATAAAAATCCACCTCAAAATTGCTTAGTGGCCAGGCATGCTGGCTCATGCCCATAATCCCAGCACTTTGGGAGGCCAGGGTGGGTGTATCACCTGTTTATCTTCAGGCCACCTTAGATCCACCCATCCTATTTGCTTTTTTTTTTTTTCTGAGGGAGAATGTTTGTTTAATCCCAGCACATCCTCTGCTGTCCTGCCCTGTGTCTTTGGGGGATGGCGAGTATGTCCAACAGCTTCACTTTTTCTTGGGCTCCTTGCAAGCCACCACATACCTCTGGGCCACATTGAAGGGAGGGGGATAGCCATCTGCATAGAAGGTGTCTTCAGACAGGACTGAGTAGTCATCCTGGGACTGCTGTGGGGGCACATGGATCAGGGCGCAGTAGAAGCAGATGGTCTGGGGATACAGGGCCAGCACGAGCTGCTCCTTCTGGAACAAGGCCTCGAGGTCTGTCTCAGGGCTGGCCTTCCACTGAGGCAGCGGGATGACCCAGCGTCGGCTCAGGGCATGTCTCTCTTTGCCTTCTTCATCGATGTCATCTACCTCATACTTGGTGGTGTGGCTGTAACTGACCACCTCAGCCAGGATCCACTGCTCGTCCCCATCCATGGCCTTCACCGGGGCAGCCACCTTGTCTCCGGGTCTGGCCACGTAGTCCCCTGAGGTGGGGATGGCCCCACAGAGGGGTGGGGGCTTGTCACCAGGCTTCCGGATCCACAGGGGCAGCGTCATCATGGCTGACTGCTGCAGCAAGGTCATCAGCACCCCTCCACGCATCGTCTTCCAGGGCGGCTTCGAATCATCGATCACTAGAGACCAGCGATCTTGGCAACAATCTGCCTCTCCTCCAACAGAGACTTGATTTCTGTGATCTTGTCCCGAGCTTTCCGAAGGATGTTGCACTCAGCCTCTGCATCGGCCTTGGTGGTTGTATGGAGGCCACGCATCTTGTTGTCTGTCTGCATCTGCTCATGGGTCTTCTGGATGTTCACTAAGTTGTGTTCGCTCTGTGAACGCTCTTCCTGGGTTTGCCTGATCAGCTGATGGAGCTCTGTGAGAAGCTCTGCAATGCGGGAATCGTCAGACACGAGGGCCGTGGTCTACAGGGGTGCCGAGTCTCGGACAAAACAAGCTCGTCGGGCTGGAAGCTTCAATGAGAGGAGCAGGTGATTTGTCCAACGCTTTTTCAGAGCCTGCGGATGGTCAGGGACCTCCGTCCGAAGATTGGCGGCACGTCAAGAACCACACATGCTTTTTTCCTTTTATGAGCATAGTCGCGCCTTTTTAAAACATGTATTTATTTTTAGATATGGCTGTGTGGCCCAAGCTGGTCTCAAACTCCTGTTGGCCTCTAGAGTAGTAGGGTTACAGGTGGGAGCCACCATGCCAGGCCTGTGAACATATTAAAGTGAACCCATGAATTGGTCAGAATTCTTGTGGTTGTAAATGCCAGAAATCTAACCCAGGCCAGCTTAAAGAAAGTAGTCCAAAGGGATTCAGACATGTCTGGATCAAGGAGAGCATCAGAACTCTCTTTCTTTCCATCTTTCAGGATTTATTTGACTCTGTTTGGCTTCATTCTCAAACGGGTAGCAAGAGGGCTGCTGTTGTGCCAAGACAAGCCATCACTGCTGTGTATCTTTTTGTTTTTTTTTTTTTTGAGACAGAGTCTTGCTCTGTTGCCCAGGCTGAGAGTGCAATGGTGTAATCTCGGCTCACTGCAACCTCCACCTCCTGGGCTCAAGCAATTCTCCTGCCTCAGCCTCCCGAGTAGCTGGGATTACAGGTGCCTGCCACCATGCCCAGCTAATTTTTGTACTTTTATTAGAGATAAGGTTTCACCACTTTGGCTAGGCTGGTCTCAAACTCCTGGCCTCGTGATCCACTCACGTTGGCCTCCCAAAGTGCTGGGATTACAGGTGTGAGCCACCACCCTGCCCAGCCTGCTGTGTATCTTATAATGAGACAGAAAGAAAAAAAGATGGCAGGAGAGAAGGAAAAGAGAGAGAGACCGTCTTTCTTCTAATGTTCATATAATAAATATGAAGGGTCTTACTAACTCACAAGCCTATCCTTGGACCAATCATTGGCGCCAAAGGAATACAGACCTTGGACTGGCCAGTCTTGAGTCTTCTGCCAAGACCCATACCACAGGGACTGAGCTGGACTGGGGAGAGAAGGAATGATTTCCCGTAGGAAGACAGGTCAAGCAACGAAAATGTGCCTGCCACACCCTAGAAGGCTGTGGCACATGAGGACATGAGCCATGCAGGACATGAGGACAACCCAGGGTTCTAGCACAAGCTAAGACTTCAGGGCACCTTCCAAGAAACCAGAAGGAAAGAATACAAGGAACTAGAGTTTTTGGAGGGCCTAGTATGTGTTGACCCAAGGACCCAGAGCTACTTGAAAGTAGCAGAAGCTGGGCTTAAACCCATGTGGTTTTTAGTTCCAAAGTTTATGCTGTTAGCACTGGAAGGACTAATCAAAGACAGAGGGGCTGAGTCAGAGGAGCTTCATTCTTGTGATAGTGAGGGATGTCCAAGAGGCACCATGGAGGGGGCACTTAGCCCAGCCTGGGAATATAAATCAGAGAAGTCTTTCTGATTCCACTACCCGGGGGGAAAGAAGTCATTATATGAAAATGATACTTGCACATGTATGCTTACAGCAGCACAATTTGCAATTGCAAAAATATGGAATCAGACTAAACGCCCATCAATCGATGAGTGGATAAATAAAATGTGGTATATATATAAAATCCAAGCACTTTGGGAGGTTGAGGCAGGAGGATCACTTGAGCCCAGGAGTTGGAAACCAGTGTAGGCAACATGGTGAGACCCTGTCTCTACAAAAAAATTGTTTTACATTAGTTGAGTGTAGTGGTGTGTGCCTGTGGTCGCAGCTGTGGGGGAGGCTGAGGCAGTAGGATCACTAGAGCCTGGGAGGTCAAGGCTACAGTGAGCTGTGTTCATGCCATTGCACTCCAGTCAGGGTAACAGAGTAAGAGATTCTGTCTCAAAAACAAAAAACAAGGAAAAAGGAAAAATGGAGTCAATCTTCTCAAACCTCGTTGGTTATTTATCAACTAAGTGTGTGTAATATTTTAAATTCTTCATTGCCATTGTTCTCAGTATCCTCACCAGGAGTAGATTCTGTCTTTAAAAAAAAACCATTTTTTGGCCTGGCACAGTAGCTCATGCCTGTAATCCCAGCATTTTGGGAGGCTGAGGTGGGCAGATCACTTGAGGTCAGGAGTTCAAGACCAGCCTGGCAAACATGGTGAAATCCTGTCTCTACTGAAAAATGCAAAAAAATTAGCTGGGCATGGTGGTGCACATCTGTAGTCCCAGCTACCCAGGAGGCTGTGGTGGGAGAATCTTGAACCTGGGAGGAAGAGGAAGAAACGGCTTTCTTTGCTCATTCATAAGAAGCAACTCCTCATCTGTTCAAGTTTTACCATGAGATTTCAGCAATTCAGCTGCATCTCAGGGTATACTTTTAGTTCTAGTTCTCTTGCTATTTGTACCACATCTGCAGTTACTTCCTCCACTGAAATCTTGAACCCCTCAAAATTATCCATGACTTTACACATAAAATTAACCAAAAAACCATCCATGAGGGTTGAATTCAACCTCTTCCAAAACTACTGTTTATATTGATATTTTGACCTCCTCCCATGAATGACGACAAATGATCTTAATGGTATCTAGAATGGTGAATACCTTTCCTGAAGTTTTCAGATTTCCTTTTTTCCCAGATCTGGCCAGATTCAGTGGCTCACACCTGTAATCCCAGCACTGTGGGAGGCTGAGGTGGGTGGATCACCTGAAGTCAGAAGTTCAAGATCAGCCTGGCCAATATGGGGAAATCCCATCTCTGTTAAAAATACAAAAATTAGCTAGGCATGGTGGCACATACCTGTAATCCCAGCTACTTGGAAGGCTGAGGCAAGAGAATCATCTGAACCTGGAAGGTAGAGGTTGCAGTGAGCTGAGATTGCACCACTGCACACCAGCCTGGGCTACAGAGAAGACTCTGATTCAGAAACACTGAACAAAACAAAACAAAAACAAAATACAGATCTATCAGAGGAATCACTATCTATGGCACCTATAGCCTTATGAAATGTATTTCTTAGGTAATAAGACTTGAAAGTCAGGCTGGGTGCGGTGGCTCATGCCTGTAATCCAGCACCCTGGGAAGCCTAGGTAGGTGGATCAATTAAGCTCAGGAGTTCAAGACCTGCCTGGGCAACAAAGCGAGACATCTCCCCACCCCTACCTCCACCACCATCTCTACAAACAACAACAACAACAACAAGATAACAAAAATTAGCCAAGTATGGTGGCGCGTGACTGTGGTCTTAGCTACTCAGGAGGCTCAGGTGGGAGGATGGCTTGAGCCTGGGGGGCAGAGGCTGCAGTGAGCTGAGATCATGCCACTGTATACCAGACCAGGAAGCAGACTCAGAGTCAGACTCTGTCTCAAAAAAAAAAAGAAAGTCAAAATCACTCCTTGATCCATGGGTTACAGAATGGTTGTTGTATTAGCAGACATGAAAACAACATTGTTGGAAATGGGTTTATAATGTCAGGAAATATCCACACAGAGACAATGGATCACTCAGCAAGGGTAGTTTACTTCCTGCAGAAAGGGTGCAACTCGCCAGCAGTCTTGCCACAAGAGCACACATGAACAAGGAGACAGGGGCATTTATAATTTTCAAAACCTGATGCAATTGCCCTACTACTGTGTCTAGTTTCCATTGGCTGGAATGGGACCTCACATTCTATGATTGACCCGATTGGCTAAAGAACTTGGAAATTTACTGAATAGATAAGGGGAAAGAAGACGAGAAAGAAGACAAGGAAAAAGAGGAAGCTAGTCAGGAGAAGGTCAGGAGGGTTTCCAAATAAAGAATGGCATACACCAGGGTTTCGGGCTTGCCCAGTCCTGTTCAGACATGCCGGAGTGAGTCAAGCTAGCTGATTTAAGAAGTAGCTGATTTAGAGACTATATATACATGGGTATATGTTTATGCTAATAGCGAATAATGGCCATAGAGCAAGAGATTGTAACTTCTTATAATGTAGTCTAAGTTATAAATTTTGAAGAAGAACTTTCCCATCTCTCATAAACATCAATCGCCTCATACATCTCTGCCAGAGTTCCTGGGTGACCAGGTACATTGTAAATGAGCAGTCACATTTTGAAAGAAATCTTTCTGAGTAGTGGGTCCCAACAGTGAGCTCAAACTACTCAGTAAACTATGCTATAAATAGATGTGCTGTCTTCTAGGCCTTGTTCCATTTAGAAAGCACATGCAGAATATATTTGGCATAATTCTTAAGGCCCCTAGGATTTTCAGAATGGTCAATGAGCACTGGCTTCAACTTAAAGTCTCATTGATCAGGGTGGTTGTTGCTAAGGGTTAGGGTGGCTATGGCTATTTTTAAAAATAAGGAACAATTGGCTGGGCACCGTGGCTCACACCTGCAATATCAGCACTTTGGGAGGCTGAGGTGGGCTGATCACTTGAGATCAGGGGTTCAAGACCAGCCTGGCCCACATGATGAAACCTCGTCTCTACTAGAAATACAAAAAAGTTAGCTGGATGTCATGGCACACACCTGTAATCCCAGCAATTTGGGAGGCTGAGCCAGCAGAATCTCTTGAACCCAGGAGTGGAGGTTGCAGTGAGTTGAGATCACACCACTACCCTCCAGTCTGGGCAGTAGAGGGAGACTCCATCTCAAATAAATAAATAATGAATAAAAATAAAGCAACAATCAGGTTTGCACCATTGTTTGATTCTTCTTTTCACTTGAATACTGAATACTTAGAGATCATTGTAGGTTATTCACTGGCCTAATTTCACTATTGTTATGTCTCGGAATAGGGAAGCTCAAGGAGTAGAGCAGTCAGAACGCACACAAGATTTGTGGATGAAGTTCACTGTCTTACATGGGTGTGGTTTGTGGCACCCGCAAACAATCACAGTAATAATGACAAAGATTACTGATCACAGATCACCGTAACAGATGTAATAATAACAAAAAATTGTGAAACACTGCAAGAATTACCAAAATGTGACATAGAGGCACAAAGTGAGCACATGATGTTGGTAAAATGGCGCTGATAAACTTGCTTCAGGCATAGTTTCCACTGAGGACCACACTCTGATATTTTTTCTCTCTTGCCCAAATTCCTATCTTAAGGGACCTGGGGAGTCATGCCCTACAAAAAATAAAGTCTCATCAGATGAGTTTTATTTAACCCTATATAATGTGGCTTACTTTCCAACCTGACTCTGGCATAACATCACATGACAGATAAAGGAATAAATAAAAAATTTTATCCCAAAATTCTTTTTGCCATATTTTGAAATGGTCCTGCAAAGCCATCTTTTATGGGGGTAAATTTGCATGTGTAAAGAATCTCTGAGGCGGGGCATGGTGGCTCACACCTGTAATCCCAGCACTTTGGGAGGCCCACAAGGGCAAATTGCTTGAGTCCAGGAGTTGGGTACCAGCCTGTGTGACATAGGGAGACCCCATTGCTTCAAAAAAAATTAGCTGAGCAAGGTGGTACACACCTATAGTCCCAGCTACTCAGGAGGCTGAGGTGGGAAGATCACTTGAGTCCAGGAAGTTGAGGCTGCAGTGAGCCATGATCACACCAATGCATTCCAGCCTGGGCAACAGGGCAAGATCCTGTCTCTAAACAAACAAACAAACAATAAAAACCAAAAAAGAATCTTTTTTACACAACCATATCTTTCCCCTTCCAAGCCCTCCCAATCCTGAAGAGATTAGCTGAGAGTCTAACACCTTTTAAAGGTCTGAATAGGAAATATTTGCCATCTACTGCCTCTAAGGGCAGCCACCTATGAAACTTACATAATAAGAACCTTGGTCTCCACAACTTCTTGTTGTGACTCAGACACTCCTTTCCAATGATTCCAGGTTTTTAGATAATAATTCTTTCAACCAATTGTCAATCAGAAAATCTCCAAATTCACCTATGACCTATAAGCCCCCACCACACGTCCCCTTCAAGTTATCTCACCTTTACCATCGAACCAATGTATACCTCACAGATATTGATGTCTTACGTCTCCCTAAAATGTATAAAACCAAGGTATAACCCTACCATCTTGGACACATATTCTTAGGACCATTTGAGACTGTGCCTCAGACCATGGTCACTAATGTTTGGCTTAGAATAAATCTCTTCAAATATTCCACAATTTGGTTCTTTCTGTCACATCACAAACCTTCTATTTTTTTGTTTTTGGGTATTTTAAAAATTTATTTCTATTTTAAGTAGCCCACAGACCCAATTCTTTGAGGACTGAGCTGATTTCTCATGCATGGTCTATAGACCCTCCTCTAGGAAACTTACTATCCCCTTCCAAAAAAGTCTGCCTCTTCCATCATGATGCACATTTTAAGTTAAAATTGCCAAGGTTATTGAATAAAGCTGAGAAGAGCAGTAAACAGACAAAAATGCATCCACCTAAATATTTACATAGTTCAGTAACTGTTAAAAGTATTCATGTCCAGAGGTTAATGCACAGGAAAGTGTTGGTAATAGCATCTGGATGTCTTGGAATGCTGAGAGCAATGTATAGACACACAAAAACATTGAGGTTTACCTGTAGATCAATTGACAAACCTATGCAGTCTCCACAGAATCACACATTCTAGTTCCAATTCCTCCTTTTAGGCACAAGCAAGTTGCCACATTCTTTGCAGTGGTTCACACTGACCATTAATGGTGTTGAACCATAGAAACAAGTTTAAATATACCTTCATTTACAGAGCCATCCATCCCAGCAGTGAAGTATGCAACATGCTTCAAAGAATAAGAAGAGAACTTTAGGGCTGGGCGTGGTAGCTCTCACCTGTAATCCCAGCACTTTGGGAGGCTGTAGTGGGTGGATCATGAGGTCAGGAGTTCAGGACCAGCCTGACCAACATGGAGAAACACCATCTCTACTAAAAATACAAAAATTAGCTGGGCGTGGTGGCACGCACCTGTAATCCCAGCCTCAGGAGGCTGAGGCAGAAAATTGCTTGAACCCAGGAGGCAGAGGTTGCAGCGAGCCAAGATCACGTCACTGCACTCCAGCCTGGGTGACAGAGTGAGACTCCATTTCCAAAAAAAAAGAAGAGAACTTTAAAAGCCCAGATTCAGGACAAGAGTGAAACTCTGTCTCAAAATAATAATAATAATGAATGGAGAAAAGCAAGTAGGGTCTGTGCAACACAGTGCAGTGTATTCTACAGAATATTTTTAAGGCCATGGCACTCTATAAATTAACACTGATATTCATTAAAAGAACTTACTGTTGACTACACCCTGAGTGCTCAACACATTTGGAAATGTAGTATGTTGTGGTCCGGCACGTCTGCCGGGGGACTACCGACCTGCAGGAGTCCCCGAGACCGCCAATGTAGATGTCACGTTCAACCTGAGGGAGAGAGTGCGCGGAAGTGAAAGAAAATAGAAAAGCGGAGTCTGGAGGGCTGGCTTAGGCTATGTCCAAGCAGCAATTTTATTTTTGCAGTATGTTTCCTTATATACTTTTCTGAAGTCAAGGTTGTTTACACCAGATCAAAGTACTTAAGTTACAGTAAGCAAGTTACGCCCACTAAGTTACGCCCAGTAAGTTAATCCCATTAAGTAGGTTACGCCCAGTAAGTATGTTACTTTCAGTAAGTAGGTTACGCCCAATAGATCAATGTAAGTAAGTTACAGTCACGCCCTGTAAGCTATGGTAAGTAAGTTACAGTTACTCCCTGTAAACTGTGGTAAGTAAGTTACAGTTATACCCAGTAAGTTGGTAAGTAAGTTATCAAGTGTAAATACTTAAGTTAATATTTTACAATGAAGGTAACTAGGGTCCAAAATGAACACAATCAAGCAATAAACCATAAGAAGCTGAAAGTGGACACATTGCCTCCCAAGTCCTCATATCCATAAAGTAATGTCTGTTAATTATTTAGAATAACATAGTCCCTCTCTCGGTTCCTGCTTTCCCTCAGCTCGACTCCCCCAACCAGGTGTCTGTGTCTGGGCTCAAGCTCACCGTATGGCGAGGCCCATTTCCCAGGGGCCTCACACGGGAGCGATCCCCACAGATTCCCTCAGTAGTCTACATAAGTACTGCTTAACAAAAGAAACAAAATCACACACAATGTGAGGCAACATAAAAGCAGGTGTACCACAGAATTTTATCTACTGCGGTGGTCTATATAAATAATAATTTACAAATGAATCAGAATTACTATGTCCCTTTATGTATACAGAAGTCACTAAACTACAAAATGTGTTCATTTGAAGTTTTTAGACATCTCTGTATCACAGAAGCAAACAAACAGTGTCAGTTCCTCAGTTCTCTGTGTGACTGATTGTTCAACAACCTGTGGACGTTGAGCATGTTTATATTAGATAAAGCAGGCAAGTCTAGAGTTGCCACAATAATCACGATGTCTAGACTGGGTGCAGTGGCTCACGCCTGTAATCCCAGCACTTTGGGAGGCTGAGGTGAGTGGATCACAAGGTCAAGAGTTCAAGACCACCTTGGCCAACATGATGAAACCCCATCTCTACTAAAAATACAAAAATTAGCTGAGTGTGGTGGTGCATGCCTGTAGTCCAGCTACTCAGGAGACTGGGGCAGGAGAATCACTTGAACCCAGGAGGCAGAGGTTGCAGTGAGCTGAGGTTGGGCCACTGTACTCTAGCCTGGGCAACAGAGTGAGACGCCATCAAAAAAAAAAAAAAAAGATATCTAATGGCACCAGTCCAAAGAGTGCCAAACCTTACATCAATGAGAGAGAAGACTAAAAAATGTGTATTTGTTTATAAGCATCTTTTGTGCTGACTGTCAGCTTCGTGATTGGATATAAAAAGTCACAAGTTAGAAGGTCATGCAGCAGTACTGATTTAATGATTGGAGATGGAACGAACAGATGTTTGAACAAAGTCTGACATTCTTAACAGGTTTCATTATGTTAGGTGGAATACTCTAAATTCATGAAAGCTTTGAGAAAATCTTCAATTCTCAACACCTTAAAAAAGTATGCTGAGCCAGGAACAAAAAACAAAAGATGGAAATAATGACCTGGACAGATACAAAACAGCATGCTTTAGTTCTCCCAGATCCCAACTGCCATCAGGTGATAAAGAATTCTCAGAAAGCAGAATACCTTTCACATTTATCAGGTAGAATCTGACCAGTGTAAAGAACCAACACTGATCTGGCGCCTCGGCTCGCTTTCTGCAGACCATTTTGGTTCCTAAGATGTAATTATACATTTCACATGCATCTATGTGATAAACATTATGTTTACATATATCCCACATGAGTCGTTCAGACCTAAAGGTTTTCTAAATACTGTGTGTGGCATTAGAAACTTCATGCTGTATCAAGTCAATGTTAGTATTAAGCTACTGGACTCTATAGTAGTGAAATACTACAGATGGACATTTACTGAAAACCAATATAAAAATCTGACCCAGAAAGACCAGAATGAAAATGTGCAATTTTCTTGATTTAAGATGGTCAAAATTGTGTGTGTGTTTTTTCTTTGTTTTTGTTTTTTAAATCTCACTCTGTTGCCCGGGCTGTAGTGCAGTGGCGAGATCTCAGCTCAACACAACCCCTGCCTCCCAGGTTCAAGCAATTCTCCTGCCTCAGCCTCCTGAGTAACTGGCATTACAGGTGCATGCCACCATGTCCAGCTAATTTTTGTACTTTTAGTAGAGACGGGGTTTCACTATGATGACCAGACTAGTCTCGAACTCCTGACCTTGGGATCTGCCTGCCTCAACCTACCAAAGTGCTGGGATTACAGCTGTGAGCCACTGTGTCCAGATTTTTTTGCTCTTTTTTTTTTTTTTGAAGTTCTACACATGGTTTAAGGCATGTTTAACCTTTCTGCGTGTGCTGACTTTATAATGACGACTCTAGCTATTCTTTATGAAGGATTAGGGATACTCATCTTCAGCAGTGCACATGAGAAACAAACTCTGAAAAAGGCAATTCCTTGGGTTTAAGAAGGACAGTATTCTAGGAATTACATCAAAGGAACGGACAATAATTCTAGGATTATAGCCAAGAAGGAATGGAAGACTTCAGGAGATGCTTCAGCTTCTAGATTTTGAATGCTGAATAAGCCATTGAAGTGTGATAGCTATATTACCCTTTTTTTTGCAAGAAATTGAGTAGCAGCAAATTTCTCTATTCTGAATAGCAGATGGATTCTTTTCGATTAGCTGTTTCTCATCCAAGGCATTAGGAAGATCTCTCTTGTCTCCAAGCACTAGCACTGGAATTCCTTGCAACTGTAGTTTATCTAGAAGATTATGTAGCTCATTTAGGGAAGCTTCTATCTTTTCACGATCTGCAGCATCTATCATGTAAACAATAAATAGCCTTGACTCCTCTGCAATACCACTCCCATGTGCTTTGAAATTGGGTTTTGTTCTCCTCTGCCCCAGATCTTTATTGAGACATTACCTTTAGTTACCTTCCTCATGTTGAAGCCCACTGTGGGTATCAGAGCTTCACGGAATTGACCTGACACGATGACATTGATGAAGTTGGTCCTGCCCAAGTACTGCAGTCCCACAAGCCTCAGCTCCATCTCCTCCTTCCAGAAGAGTGAATGGAGCCAGTCCAGCAGGTGAGAGATGAGCGCCCCAATTTGTTAAAATTATAAAATCTACAGGCTGAGCATGATGACTCATGCCGGTAATCCCAGCACTTTGGAAGGCTGAGGCAGGAGGATCGCTTGAGCCCAGGAATTCAAGACCAGTCTAGGCAACAAAGTGAGACTCTGTCTCTACAAAAAAAAAATTAAAAAATTAGCCAGGCGTAGTGGCATGCATCTGTAGTCCAACCTACTGGGGAGGCTGAGCTGGGAGGATCACTTGAGCCCAGGAGGCGAAGGCTGCACTGAGTTGTGTTTGCACCACTGTGCTTCTGCCTGGGTGACAGAGCAAGACCCTATGTCAAACAAACACACAAACAAACTCTACAAAGTGCAATAAAGTGAAATGCAATA